TTTGGGGTTTAGGGCTTTGGGCTTTAGGGTTTGAGGGCTTCGGGGCGCTTAGGTTTTTGTGGGAGTAAGGTATAGGGCTTTAAGGCTTTAGGGCTTTAGGGTTTCGGGGTTCAGGCTGGACTAAGGGTTCCTTGATGTTTCAAGGAATGGTTCTGTAAGGGCTCCAGGGCTGTAGGGTTTAGCGTATCATGGTAGAGGGTTTATGGCTGAGAGCTCGGATAGTAGAGGCATCAGCTAGACAAGTACAAGTGCTGCAGCGACTTAAACAACAACGACTCCGACTACCACAGAACAAGCAACAGAGTAGTCGTAGTCATCCTACTCCGAAGAGGGTTTGCTCGGTAGGATACCTGAGATTACCTTACCTCTCTAAGCATTTACCGCCTCAACCAACGTACCCAAGCCTCATTTACGAAGTGAGGTGTCGGTTCAGACTGTATTTGAGACCTCAGCCTACTTTGTCCCCTAAACCCTAAACCCTAAACCCTAAACCCTAAACCCTAAACCCCTAAACCCTAAACCCTAAACCCCTAAACCCTAAACCCCTAAACCCTAAACCCGAAACCCTAGGGTTGCGCATTCGTATCGAAAGCCTGGCAGAAGCCTCCCCACCAACGTTCCTGTGGGCTTCAAAAGAGCGTTTATAAGGTCTTAAGCGTTGGGGTTCATTACGGCTTAGAGGGCTTAGGAATTAGAATTATAGGATTCAGGGTGTAGGGAGGGTGTAGGGTTTGGGACAGGATCCAGGGCCGACTGCACCGAAAGCCCGGGAGCAGTTTCGGCGTTTACAGTGTAAACGACCAGGCGCGTAAGTAGGTACACGAAGATGAGGATCTCACCACAGCTGCCCCTGTTTAAGGGCCATTATAGTCGAGGTAAGATCCCTCTGTTTCGGTGTAGGAGCAAAAATCGCTGGCTCAGTATAGACTCTAAACATAGCACAGAAAATAGGAAACCCCGTATAGTAAAGAAGTACCTGAACCGATTTGTTTATTCTTTGCCTCCAGGAAGTACGACAAAAAAAGTGTCCGCAGCAAAACCCGCAGACCCTCACAGGAGCGTTTAAACGAGTTGCTGAAGGCACACTTACAAAATCTTTGACCTAGGCCTAAGCCCTTAACCCCAACTGAACCTGAACCCTAAACCCATAAACACACACACACAGACAAGCGCTAAATCCCCAAAAAAAGAACCACAAACCTCTACATCTCTCTTGTAGAGCCCTGAACCTAAACCCTTGTTCACTTGTTTTCTTATCCTCTAAGAACCCTAACTTTGTATCCGTGGACACGCCTCCAGTTGCCAGACGCGCTGTGGTGCGTCTTGTGCCGGAGGTCCGAAGGAGGCGTAGTACTCCTCAAGTTTGAGGGTTTAGGGTTTCCGATGGTTTCGGGCTTAGGGCTGCTGGGCTTTCAGAGCTTATAAGGGTTGTTAAGGACTAGGGTTTTGGGTCTTTAGAGAGTGTAACACTTTAGTGTCTAACGCTTCAACGTATACGGGCTTTAGGGTTTTAGGATTGTGGGTTTGTTCAAGGCTTCGGGCTTTTGGGGTTTAGGTTTCAGGGCTTAAGGTTATAGTTTACAGCGTTTAGGGTTTATAGGTTTGTTTGCTGTCAGGAAGACCGCTGGACTTTTCAGTGCCACCGGTTCCAGCAACTGGATGGTCTTCCAACATGTAAGACCGCGCATTGACGGCTGGCAGGACTACTACTGGCTCACTGGAAGGTCTATGAGGCAGTCCAGTAAAATGTTTGACGTGGACCACACTCGGTGGTAGGGTGACCTTCAGACCAATTGACCACAAACGTGTGCGGCCGGCCGGAGTAATCCTTTTCCATAAAGGTGTGGAAATCGGCTCCCTGCTTGCAACGAGACATAATGTACATGCCAAGAGGGTTGAAATATCTCATCTCACCCTCGTCCAGGAAAATACTGACTTCAGTCAACACAGGGCTTTCCTGGGATGACACGTGAAGCACCATCAGCTCCGAGCGGACTTGATTATAGCCCACGCAAGCACTCCATCGAATGCCTCTTGCTGCCAAGCACTCAGGCAATTTCCATGTCGATGAAGACCCTAAACCCTAAACCCTAAACCCTAAACCCTAAACCCTAAACCCTAAACCCTAAACCCTAAACCCATGCCTTCCCAAGGCTCGGAAGAGCCAAGAGAAATCCGAATGGAGGCACTCGTCTCGTTGCCTTCCGGCGCTGCGGGGCCTCGGGGCCCGTAACTGCAGATGCCGACGAATTGCTACAGAAACCCCTCTTTAGGGTTTAGGGTTCAGGGTTTAGGGTTTAAAGGGGTTTAGGGTTTAAGGTCAACTCGCAGAAGCGATGCCTGGACCAACTAAGCCGCTGAGCCGCCCCTGACACTCCTAAATGGGTAGTTCTCTAAATGGGGGGTGGGCCCCCTTCTAAGTCCCCAATATACGGCACCCTTATAAAAAGGACCCTAAAAGGGACCCTAATTTAGAGAGCTACCAAAGGGATGATTATCAAGGTTTGCTGCTTGGGGTTTGGGGTTCAGGGTCTACGGACTTCGAAATCTTGGACTATGAGGCTTTCACTCTGATTCAAACTTCCCTAAACCCTAAAGCTTTAAACCCGAAACTTCCAAAACCCTAAACCCTCAACTTCCCTACACCTACTAAACTTCCCTAAACCTCACATAAGGGAACCCTAGGCCCTGCTGTTTCCCGCTATGTTTTATAGGCATCTTCGTGATGCTTAAACGTTAGGGTTTAGGGTTTAGGGTTTAGGGTTTAGGGTTTAAACGTTAGGGCTTGGATTCAGGGTTTGTAAGCCTTGCTGGAACCTTTTAGGGTTTAGGGCTTAGGGTTTAGGGTGTAAGCCTTGCTGGAACCTGGTCCCACTCAATGGCGCGATTACCTGCTGGAGTCACGAGCGCTGACAGCCCCAAATCAAGCAAACAAAAGCACGAGGTGAGCCCAAGTTCAGCTGGAGACTCTCTTACATGCCTGTACTGCACCGGGCCGATAGTTCGACCCACTAGCTTGAACATGCTACAATACCCAGCGCCCCCCGCCCCTCTTCCCCATAGACCCCTAACACATGTGAGCCGTGGGGCTTCCTCCGCAACTAAAACGAGTTTTATGCTTAAAACAGCATAGAAATTACTCCGCTAGCCTGCGTAGGGCAAACGACACTTTGAGGTACTCCGCTACTCCGCAAGAGCCTGTATTTCAAATCACATGTAGCTGGAAACTTTCGGCCCAGGGATGTACCCCTCAACCCCTCAGCATAACCCGAAATCCTATACCCTTCAGCTTAGCCCTACACCCTTCAGCTCAACCCTAAACCTTCAACTCCTCAGCGCAACCCTAAACCCTAAACCATTCAGCTCAACCCTAAACCCTAAACCCTGCATGGTCTTTCGGACCTGAGCTTCAGAGACAGTAATGCTGTTGATGATATAAATCCTGCATTACCTTGAGGACCCTAACCATTGGTATTGTGGTATAGTTCTTACTATGGGCAATGCAGGATTTCTATTATCAACCGTACCTCTTTAAGCCAATGCATGGAAGGCACGTCTGGAAGATTTCTCGCCGAGCAAATCCTGAGCAGTCGGCGTGAGGTTGAGTTTTGGGATTAAGGTTGTTGTTTGCTTTTGAAGTGTTAGGGTTTATGATTTAGGGTTTAAGGCGAAATCCCAAGTCTTGCTGGCTCCAAGCCTTTACGAGCCTACTCAACGCTACCTGGACCCTAATGAACCTACCTTTTAGGGTTCCTTATTATGACTTCCTTATAACAAGTCCTTAAAAAGGTAGGTTATTTGGGGCTAAAGTAAACCCTAAAATCTTGAACCACAAACCTTGCACTGCACTGCGCCAAAAAAGTACCATGAACCGTTTAGACTAAACCGCAGATTTCGAAAGTAGTCTGATTCCGCAGGGACGGAAGGTGGAGAGCGCGGGTACTTGTTCAAGTTTGGGGGCTTAGGGACTGTAGGGATAGGGCTTAGGGTCTAGGGCTTATAGGGTTATGGTAGGGGTCTGCTGACGAAGAAGACATGTCTAAGCTCGAAATGCGATAGAAACACTCAGTTCGAGTTCTTTCCAATAAACCTCAAACCCTAAGCCCTGAAACCCCTAAACCGTGAGCCTTAAACCCATACCCGCAGGCTTACATGCACAAAGACTCCAACTCACCCTGAAACCCTCAGGCGAAACCGAAGGCTCCTGGGTGTATAAAGGGTCTAGGGTTTAGGATGTAGGATTCCTTTTTTTAAGTTGTGAAGCCGCACCCAGGTTTAGGGTTTAGGTGGTTTAGGGCCTATGGACCCTGGAGCTTACAAGGCCGACCCTCATCATACTGGTCAGGCTAATGTAGGAGCCTGATTAGGAAACCCTGGCAATTTAACCCCAATATGTGAGCATTCACATTAAGAACCTTAATAAAGAACCTAGGTTTCTGAATCAGGGGTTGCCCGCGCAGCCGTCACGTGGAACCCTTTGTCTTTCGGGATTTGAAGACACTTGCTGCTCTTCAAGCTGCAGCACTTAGGGTTTAGGGCTTTCGGGCTTTCGGGCTTAAGGTATCTACAGCCGCTTGATTATCTCAGAGTTTCCGGTGTTTGGGGCTTCGGATGTTGGATATCAGGCAGCCGAGGATTGCAGACGGTAGACCCTACAAACTGAACACAAGACTTTAAACCCTTTGCACAGCCTTTAAGAAGCTTTAGACCCGCAAAAAGACCCAAATCCAGGCCTGACCGTGCTAAAGTTTGTGAACTTGGCACCCGGCTGGCCGAATTCGAAGCCGTTTGGCGCATGGACCTAGGGTTAAAAACTCGAGGTGTACGAGGGAGTCTGGGAGGGCTGCAGAAAGTGTTTTCGTAAATTTTCTGTATAAGTGTAACCAAAAGATAGTTATCACCAAGCTGTTACCTGTATTCACCGCTTGCACGCTCATGTAGCGGAGTACCCCGAAGAAGACACTCGTTGAAATGTCCAACCGACATCCCGAAACCCTAAATGCGAAACCTTGTGGGTCACACCCTTGTTGAGACCGTGAACCGATATGCCCGGAGCCACGGAACCCTGAACCAAACCATGCCGTACTTCTAGCACTGTGCATCGAATCCTCAAAAAAGACTTAGCACGTTTGTTGCTGAAAGGGGTCTTTCTATGCTATTGTTCTGATTAATATATAGCGGTTCATGCCAGCAGATCAACCACTGACTTGCCGGCGTTGTTTTCATCATCCCACCGTGGGGGCCGGGTGTGCTGAATCATGGGAGTGTGCAGTTCCAGGGCATGGTGACTGCATTGGTCCGTTCTCTTGGGGTCATGACATGTGTTCAACAGGTTCGCTACTACAGCCAAAGCGTGCGGCTCGCTCCAGCCGTGCTGCTTCACACTTCGAATCCGACGCTGTCATGCGCCTTACGTGTGTGTGTGTACATACATATATGTGTGTATACGTTATATGTGCATGGAAATATATATATATATATATAATGTATATACACATATACATATATGTTCATAGATAAATATGCAACAAGAATACACATGTAAGTGCGATTATATATTGTTTTAGCTTCGTACTTGCTTAGGCATAGGTTTTAAGGTTTGGGCTGAAACAGGTTTAGGGCTTTGGGAAAAACGTGTACCCCTGCAAATGGCTTAAGCCCTAAACCCCCAAACCTATAACCGTTTTGGAACATCCCACAAACCCTGAACCCTAAAACTTCAAATAAATCCTAACTCCTAAACCTGCCCCAAACCATAAACCCTAATCCATTCTTATCCAACCGTTTTGAACAGGTCGAAGCCAGCGAGCTTTGTCTTTGATTCGGGGACTGTCTCGCCGATCGGAGCTTCGAGAAGGTATGCACTTTTGTGTTTACTTAGTGTTGGTGATGATATGCTTCACGTAAGCGTCAGTGGTAGTATAGGTGCCCAAGCGCCTCTGCTGCTTTGCTAGGATCAGACATCGGACCCTGCAGAAAACACTTGCAGACTTGACATGCATTATCAATAAGTATTTCCTAACAGATAGTGACAAGAAAAAGCAACAAGCAACAAAAAGCAAAGGCAACAAGCAACAACAAGCAACCTCAAAAAAAAAACTATAAAACACCAGAGAACGCCTATTCCGAAGGAAGAAGCACCGACCGAGGGCATCAAGCGCACGGGGCGGATCAACAATGACACTTCTGGTTTCACAAATGGGTGGTTGTCAAAATTAGGGTCCTTTTTTGGGTCCTTATTATAATACGGCACCTATTATTTAGGGTACCCCAAAAGGGACCATAAATTTGACAACTACCCAAATATCTTTTGCTCTGTGTCCGCCCCGGACACACACTCACTCAGCCACTCACTCACTCACTCACTCACTCACTCACTCACGGTGGCGGGCTTGCAAACCCGGCAGGATAACCACAAAAAATGGTTGGTGTATTGCATCGGGTCTACAAAGCCTTGTGGGCCCTAGAAAGCCCACTCAAGTCTAGAACTTCCCTCACACCTTAGGGTTTAGGGTTTAGGGTTTAGGGTTTAGGGTTTAGGGTTCAGTGCCGGGGCCCTGGCGCCAACTTGTCCGCCCCGATTTGCACCGAGCTCTGCCACGAACCAAAGCTGGACCACGGTCCTTCAGGCGTTATTCACAGTAGGGGCTTAGGGTTTAGGGTTTAAAGGTTTAGGGTTTAGGGTGTAGTGTTTAGGGTTTAGGGTTTAAAGGTTTAGGGTTTAGTGTTTAGGGTTTGAGGTTTGCGATAGGTATTAGGATTAAGGGTTATAAAGGTTTGCGATCTCGGGATTTTAAGGTCTCGGCTTGGGGCTGAGGTGTTTCGGAGTTTAGGGAGCATGGGGCTTTCAGGGCTTTGTTCGGGTTGTCGGATGTTTTTGTTCATGGTTTAGGGGTTTCGGTTTACAGCTTTGGGCGTTCACTTCGAGTGCTGGCGGTATGATCCCCAGTCTTGACATTGAAGTCGCCTTGGTGCTCCTCATAGAAACACCCTAAACCCTAAAACGTCGCGCCCACGCCGCCTCCTCAGGGTTGCATGTCCTCTCGCTGGACGACATCATCCAGGTGAGCGTCTTCCACAAAATGACCCGAGACTCGCCAGCATGCTCCACCTCCTACGGTTGAGGGTATCCTGAATTGCCCAGCTTAAGGAATGAACCCTAAACCCTAAAGCTTTAATCCAATATACCATGATTCCCATAGTTGAGGGTATCCTGCATTACCCATAAGAAGGAATGAACCCCAAACCGTTAATCCAATATACCATAATTCCATAATTCCCAT